ATATTATTATGTTATTCATCATATACAGTATATTATATTTCTAGAATGATTACAAATTAATGATGAAAAAATTTTTTTTTAAAAAATCTTTTTTTGTTTTCACACTTTCAAAATTAAAGATGACCTACCAAATCCTCAGCATCTTCAATACCAATAGATAATCTTATTAGATTGTCGGTAACACCGACAGCATTACGATGCTCTTGAGTAAGACCGGAGTGTGTCATTTTTGCTGGATGTTCAGCTAAACTTTCTACACCTCCTAGTGACTCGGCTAAGGTGAATAATTTGGTATTTTGTAAGAAAGTATTCGCTTCTTTAAATCCACCTTTTATTTTAAAACTTAACATTCCACCAAACCCCCTGGCTTGCTTTTTGGCCAATAAATGTTGTGGATGACTTTCTAAACCAGGATAAATAACTTGATCAACTTTATCACTCCCTTGTAGAAATCTAGCAATTCTTAAAGCATTTTCTTGATGTTGTTTCATACGTAAATGAAGTGTTTTCAATCCACGATTCGCTAACCAAGAATCAAATGCCGATGGTACGGCTCCAATAGCATTTTGTAAAAATTTGATCTTATTATGAATTTCTTGATTGTTTGTTATAAAAACACCCATAACGACATCGGAATGTCCATTAATATATTTGGTGACAGAATGTACAACAATATCCGCCCCTAATTCAAGGGGATTTTGAAAGTATGGGCTCATAAATGTATTATCCACCACAAGGATTGCATTATGTTGATGTGTTATTTCAGCAACCGCTTTTATATCGACTAAACTTAAAGTTGGGTTGGTTGGGGTTTCAACCCATACAAGATTTGTGTTGAATCGAAAAGCATCTTTAAGATTTTGTGGATCATGTAAATCAACAAATGTCGTTTCAATTCCTTGGGTATCTGCTACTTTGGAGAAGTATCGATTCGTTCCTCCGTACACATCACTTACAGAAACGATGTGCCCATTCGTCCCAATTGATGTCACTATCGTTGCCGTTACTGCGCTTCCCGAAGAAAATGCAAGTGCATATTTTCCTTTTTCAAGTGATGCGATTGCTTGTTCAAACTTGCTTCGATTCGGATTATCAGATCGTGAATATTCATAACCCTAAAAGGAAGGTAACCACAAAAGGTGAGTTTTTTTTTTTTCCATCAAAGTGAAAGCGAAAGAGAACTTTACATTGTGAACGCCGATAGCAGATTGTTTATATGTTGTAGATAAGGAAATTGCTGGAATGACGGCTCCCGTATTTGGATCAGGTTCTTGTCCTACGTGAATAGCTCTTGTACCAAATCCCAATTCTTTAATCTCTTGTTTTAAATTATTATCACCATTTAATGCAATATTTGGGCTCATATTAAAAGAATTATTTGTTTTACAAAATGAAAAAAAGGTTTTCGAGTTCAAAGTTGGTATTTGCAAAATATATGAAAATTTTTCGAGTATTTATAATTTTTTCATCATTAATTTGTAATCATTCTAGAAATATAATATACTGTATATGATGAATAACATAATAATATCGTAATTCGATGAAAAATTGCGTGATTGAACAAGTTGGCGCAGGTTAACTTTGTTGGTAATCAATATTTATTACGTCTTATAGTATTGCGTATACATATATGTCTAGATTGATCTCTATTTATCATGTGATAAGCCAATTTACTGCGGACATAAATGTTTTGATACATTATTATCACCTAAATTTGTGACCTCAAGAGTTATCTCTTTCCACATATACATGTATTTAACAAGGAGTAGGATCTTATTTTTATTGTGGATATTCGGAATTGTAGGGAGGTTGTAATAACCGTAAATTTTGTAATTTGACGGAAATAAATTGGTAATAATACCAATAATATAAATAATATATCGTGTATATACAGTAGAAATAAATCTAAGGCAGAATTGTAGATTTCATAATCTATTTGAGTGAAGAACATTTTTAAACGTTCTATATATTTAATCAAAAGAAAAAACAAATAGTAAACAAGACAAAAAAAAAGGCACTAGATTTTTTTAGAAATATCATATATGGTATATATATTTAATCAATATATAAAAAATAAAAATAATTTTTTTTTTTTTTGCTTTTTTTTTTTTTGTTCAATAAAATAATAAACATAAAAAGTTATATAAAAAAAATAATCGAAGAATCTTAACTTATTCAATTTTTTCCACCTTTTTTTTTTTTAAAAAAAAAATAAAATTTAATTTGCAGTCAACTCTCGATATACCGAACCTCCATGACGAAATTTTGAAAAAAAATTCTCGCTATATCGAGAGGTAATATATAATATATGAAAAAAAAAAAAAAATAAAGAGTGGAAAAATATAAGAGCGCGAAATCGTTAAATATAAATTTTCAACGCTAAAAATAATTTCAGTAGAAGTATATTGATTAAATCGAAATAAAATTTTCAATGCAAATATATTGATTAAATCTAAAATAAAATTTCCATATCGATTTAATCGTTTAATAAATTTAAATAATAAAAAATAGGGGAATAAATCATTGGAAAATCTTTTTTTTTTTTTGTTTTTTTTTTTTTGCCATATCAATATAATAATAATAATAATTCACTTGAGTTGAAATCTTTGCTAATAAAGATGAATTCGAATTAAAAATTTAACACCAAAAAAATTTATTCAACAAATGCATTAGGCTTTTTTTTATGTACCAAACCTTTACCTTAATACAACTTCAAGTTTACTTAGAAGAGACAACTTTCTTTGCGGCAGCTGCGACCTTTT